ATATATTCACTATAGCCACTGTTCTCTATCCACCGTTCTCTTGTACTTAATGGAGATCTCATCTGGAGCCACTATAGTGCCCATACTATTAAACTATTAAACTGTCACTAACTTAATCCAATAATCAATATATATTTTCTGCAAGGCAGTGGATTTAGCAGTTGTTTGCATTGTATGCCTTTGGTGAATGACCTTGATTCAATTGTTCATCATCTTGTAGCTTTCATTCACTTATAGCCTATAATGCTTTTGGCCCCCAAAACAGTCTGTAGGAAAGTAGACTTTCTGAGATGCAGCAGAAATAACCACCAAACTCCATTTTAACTTTTCACTTGCCAGTTCAGTTCTCCTTGCTCCCCCCCCCCGCCCAAACTATGTTCCTGAAAGAGGCAGAAAAACTAGAATCGGGCGACCCAGATGTTTCTTTGATATGCCTAGGACATAACTCAACGTCCACCTACTTACACTCAGAACTAAGGTCTAGAATCCTGTAGGCATCTTTATAATACCAGATCTTGGCTTCAAATCTGCCAAAACAAATATTACTTTGTCATTTTCTTTCTAATACATGGTCTCCAGAACATTTTTGGAGAGGATCCAAAATTTCATTCTTGAACCAAGGGTTCAAAGGTACAACAATCACATAGTAGCACAACTGAAAGGACATGTAATACGTTACATAAAAGAATTTTTAAAAGATAAGGAGTCAGGGTTGGAGAGATGGCTCAACAATTAAGGGTAGTTGCTGATTTTGCAAAGAATGCAAATTTGTTTCCCAGCACTCACACTAGACTGCTCACAACAGCCTGTAATTCCAGCTCCAGGAGATCTAATACCCTATTCTGGCCTCCATGGTACCCCCCATATGTGGCATACAAACACACACACACACACACACACACACACACACACACACAAAACTGACCAAAAAAAACCTTATTTTTAAGAATGCAAGACTGGAGAGATGCTTCAACAGTTAAGAGTACTGGCTTCTCTTCCAGAGGACATGGGTTCAGTTCCCAGCACCTACATGGTGGCTAACAACGTTCCATCCCTAAGCCATCTTGCCAGACCTCAGTTCCAGGGATTTGGATGCCTTCTTCTGGCCTCTATGCATTGCACGACAACACACATGCAAGCAAAACATGCATACACATAAAAAATAAAATATCTTTTTTAAAATTTAAGGATATTACTATTTTTTAAGGTAAGCAGTCAAAACAAAGAAAATATAATCATTGTGGAACTTGATATGTGTAATAGCAGCTCTGAGTCCAATCTTGGAAGTAAAGGATGTGCTTTTTACTTGTATCATGACCCATTAACATATATACAAGGTCCATTCCAAAGAAGCCAGGATATGTGTTGCTGAATGACTTTTTATACTTCAATGGTCAGAACTAAAAATAGACATTGCAAATGATTAAACCAAGTGCAAGCCATTAATCTATATACACCAAACTAAGCAACAAGTCAACACAAATGGCTGTAAGTGAATTTTGAAATTTAAACAGCACATTTTAAAACACCAAGCAGCATATTTGAGCCTTTTCTGAACCAGACTTTCGGACATCCCCCAGACATGTATAGAGCCATTCCAATCCAAGTGTAAGTTAATCTCTCCATATATATTTCCTCTATCTATTGACTAACATGAACTTTGCTGACAGAAACATGTCAAGCCTCACAAGCTTGGGCTTGTTAGCTTTCTTTCGGTTTTAGGTTTCAACCTGGAACATCCTTTGAACTTCATCAGATTAATTTATTGAATAGCCAGAAAAGGTTAGGGTAGTAAAAGCTATTTGAATGCTTTATTATCAAAAGAACTCCGAGTTTCCATTTGGAAAAGTACTGCAGGGCATCCTGTAGCAGATGGCCAAGTAGCTGTACAGTTAGTTCAGTCTTATACCACCCAGAAAGAAAAACTGTGGTAACATCTTTCCAGCAGCTAATCTGTGTATTTTTCTCATGGGACTAGAGTTATCACAGGAAAATGAAATGAGTTAATATGAATTCCCACTATTGTGCTTGCCTGGAAACCTACTGCTATAGCTTTGGTGTTTACTGGCACTATATTATAATCGTTTGGGCTACTATAACAAAGTACTAAAAAACACAGCAATTTATTGTCTCGTTCTAGAAAATGGAAATTTAAAATCAAGATGTTGCTAGGGTTGCTTTTTTTTGACAGATGTGATGGAAGGTCTACTCTAGGCCTCTCTCCTTAGCTAGTAAATGGATACATTTTGATTCATATGAGGTATGGCAAGATGGCTTAGTTGTTGGAGGCCATTGAGACCAAGCCTGGTGACCTGAGTTCAGTCTCAGGATCCCACATGGTGGAAGGAAATAATCAAATCCCACAGTTGTCCTCTGACCTCAATTGTGTATCATGGCATGTTAATGACACCCCAACCACAGAACTAATTTGTTAAAAACAAAGTGACTCATATTCACATGCTATTCTCCCCGCATGTGTAGCCAGTTCCAAATGTACCCTTTTTAGAAGGATATAAATAATATTAGGTTAGGGTCTGCTTTAATGACCTTTACTTGATTAACTTAATAAAGATCCCATCTCCGAATAAAGTCATGTTCTAAGATGCTGGGTATTAAGAATTTAACATGGAGATTAATACATGAGTGAGTGGGGGTGCTGTGGAACACTGCTTTCCAATCATAATAGCCATTACCATTTTCCTTCAAGTAGCTGTGACTACTTTCATGATACCTTCAAGATCAAGCTTGTTGCTATTCCCTCACAGAATAAGGAGTGGGTCATTAGATTGTCAGCTGAAATTCCAGTCCTTCCTTACTATACCTTCCTCAAAGCCGTAAGCAACTCTGCCCACGCTGTGTGTAGTCTAGTGGTTTCTGGAGGTGCTAGAGTACATGAATATATTAGGTAGAAGGGGGAATCCATTTATACAGCTATGAGGATGTCATCATCAATGTTGTGTTGAGAGCAATGCTATGGCTACTTTTGGATCAGCCACACTCCTCTTAAGGAACCCTGAACCTAGGTTCTGTAAGTAATCCCAATAAAGTCATTGGTTCAGCAAGATGAGTATAGGCATAATCAAACTTTGGTCTGGCATTGGAGCCCTACCAGGGATAACAACATGCTAATGTCTCCCCAAGAAAATTCATGCAACAGAGAAGCATAACTTAGGGTCATAACTGATATTTCTTTTGTTCTCTTCTTCACATTAGCTATCATCAAGGTAGACTGTTATTGATGCAGCCCTTCTCATGAGGGAATTATTTCCTAATGGGCAAAATAATAAGATATATACATAAGGATATAGACATAATAGGTATCATGAGGCTGGAAATCAACTGTGACATATTTAGGGTCCTTTGTGTGTTTCAAAATAGAAACTGCAGCCTCTTAGTATGACCATTCAATGCCAAAATACACGGGAAGTCCTTTAGTTTCTGAAATGAGCAGAACAGGAAGGCTGTTCATTACTGCTTTGAAGAGAGTGTTTGAGCAATGTTTAGCTGATATTATAATTACTGATAATAAAATAAAGAAACAAGAATTTCTCAGTTAAATAACACCTGAAATTCTGTGTGTGTGTGTGTGTGTGTGACACACACATCAAGGGGCATTCTAGAAATTCTAGAAGAAAAAAACTAAAGTCATATTCATAAATGTCTTCACCTTCCTAACGGTGTTTATCCCCATATGGTATTGGTAAGATGTCCTAGTTAGCCAGTCATATTCCATGGAGAGATACTAGACATCACTATTTGGTTTTATTTAACTGAAAATATTTTGTTCCTTGATTTGTAAGCATATTTGTAAAGTAGTCAAGTAGATAGCATTATTACCATTGGCAAATATATTAAATTACATTTTATGACTGTATATCTTGATTATTATTTTATTATTTTCTCATATATCTTTAGCTGTTTCTTTAAGAACTCATGTGGAAGGCACGCAAATGAAAATTTCACAAAGACAGATTATGTCCTGAATCTATAAACAAAGCTTAACAAACCTAAATTAATTGATATGGCCTCAGACCAAAATGGAATTCAACTTGAAATTAATGAGAGAAAAGTAACAGAGATTATCTAAATCCCAGAAAATAAAGTGGAAATCTTCTAAATAAAGAGGCCACATCAAGAAAAAGAAGGGCATTTTTTTCCATGACTCCCCCATTCACAATACAGATCAGGCACAGTGGGCTGGGCTGGGGTATACATGGGGCAGGTTTTCTCTGCCTCCTCTTTCTATCAGTCATTGTAAAAACACAGTCTGTGGTAAGCACCATGAGGCCAAAAAAGAGGGCATTTTTAACTAAATGAAAATGCACTGTATGAAAAGTTGAAGGATGCAGTTATGTTTGTAATTAGAGGAAATTTTATAGCAATAAATACTTACTTCAAAGATAAGTAAAGGTTCCTAATAAATAATATAAGTTCTTATTTCATGAACCTAGGAATATAAAAGAAAACAAAGCACAAGAAAGGGTGGAGATAAAGGAATTAAAATAGGGACAGAAAAACAATGGAGAAAATCAATATACAGTGGAATTAGCTCTTCAACAAACTCATAAATTTGAAAAATTTATAGTAAATTAAAAGGATAAAAAGCACAAATTAACAATAAAAGGAATGAAAGAAGTTTTATAACTACAGAGACCACATATACTAAAATGGATAAGGGAATACTATAAACAACTGTATTCATAAAAATTTGATGAGTTCAATTAATTAGACCTTTTTGTTCAGTGCATGAAAGCAGGTGCTCTGCCTACTGAGTTAGATATACTCCCAGCCTTGAATCAATTTCTTATAAACCACAAATTACTAAAACTCACATAAGATGAAATATGAAACATGTCTAGCTCTACAGCTATTTGAGACATATTATTCTTAGTGAAAACCTTCCAAAAATAAAAACCGTAGGTCCATGTGGTTTCCTTGGTAATTTCTACCAAAAATGTAAATAACAAATAACATCAATTATAGTTTGTAGGGTTTATGGCTAGGTAAGATCCTTGATGCCTTTTCTCTCCCAGCAGACTGTATACCAACTAGCCAGCAGGGAGAAAGTTGCCAGCTCTAGTTTGCCTTTTCTATATCTTGCAACCAAGTTTGTGATCCCTTCAGCAATAGAGTCTTGTATTCTAGCTTTGCTGGGAAACTAAGAAGACTGACAAGAGCAAGATGTACCTGTACAGTAGTGGCACCACTATTGTGGATGTAACCAATTTTCCTTCTGAGTGAACTTGAGGCCTACTCTACCGGCAGAAAACCATGCCTCATACTGTACTCCCAGTGACCAGTGTATGCCTGTGAGGTCATAGGCCCTAGGAGGGAACTTATTATTATTACTTAACTAAATTGACATAATATCAAACTTTGCTCTGAATTTCTATTTTATACTCATAGACAAAATATATTCTCAGCCTAAATCAATGAATCCTCTCTTTGCAGTGAACAGTGGTAAATATAAAGACTCATAGCTGCCCAAGAGAATAAGTGGCATCTGGAGGGATCAGCTCTAAATAAGACACTTTATATCACTCACTCTAGACTCAACACAACCATTGCAACCAATAACTTACACCTGTGGCAGTCTCCACTGGGTCTGCACAAACAGCCCTGCCAACAATCATTCATGGTTAGAAGAGAGGCTTATGATGTCCTACCCTTTACTGCTGAAATATTGGCTATTGACAGATTCTGGGAGAGGATAAATTTTTGTCTTCAGTTATGTACCCACTAATGATTCCACCAGACTCCAACAGAAAGTTGCAAATCCATAGTCATACAAACACCCTTGGTTAAATTTAGTGGATCATGGAACAAAACAAATAGACATTAATGTGAGAAAGAGATTTATAGGAAAGAGGGAGGGTAGACAGGAATAGTGGGGAAATGGAAGAGAATCAAGGGTGTTGAGTGGTCAGTATACATTATGTACATGTGTGAAAGTGACAAAGAAAAAAATTAATTAACAAAAAATCAATTGTATGAAATTTGGTCCAAAAACTGGGCAGGAGGGAATATTCACAACAAAATTTATGATTTTTATATTATCCTGAAAATAAAACCAGATAAGAGAAAGAAAGGGAAATGAAAAATTTAGACTGAAGTCAAACAATAAGAGAAAAAAAAAAAACTGTAGCGCAACCTGCAGTCATGCCAAAAATGACTAAGTAGGGATGTTAGGCTTCCAAAGTTGCTAAGCTATGAAGAGAAATTCCTAAACTCTGGTAAGTATGGAATCACTGAAATTCGTTAGGCACTTATACTTTTTTCAATAGCAAGTAATATCATACACGTCCTCATATGACCATGGGGTCATAAGAAAACATAAGGGTCCTCTACCACCTGATGAAAATGAAACAGCAGTCTTCCTCTCCACAGAAATCACATTATATAAGCCCTATCGAATGTTAGGATTTACACTGCTGCCCAGTAGTACAAAGCTGCCTAGCCTCTGGAGTCAGTGAAATTTAAATGGAAAGTACTAATTATAGCAAGTATGTAGAAACTACTTTTGCTAAAAAGCACTGGCTCATCAATTGTACTTGCAAAGACTAGCATCTCTGCATTTAGTTTGCATGTGTCTCTTTTGCCTCGATTCTTTGGGTCAATGGTTAGAGTGAGATGAGTGGTAGAGTAGTTAACTAGGATGCACAAGACACCAAACTCAACCCCAAATAGTAAAAAAGAAAAAAAAAGCCTTGAGTCAGACTTCTACTCAACCCTGTACACGTAAAACTTGATGATATTCAACCAGTCTCATCCCCTTCATGGCCAAAGATGCAAAAGATAAGGGTAACCAGGGCTTCTTACTGCCACCTTTATAAAGTCTTGATCTAGACCACCAAAATGTACCTGAATGTTACCAGTCATTATGATAAACCTACTATCACTTTATTCCAGGAACCACAGAGCTCTGCAAACTGCTCAACCCATGAAAAGATTACTTCCAAATAGGAATAATTGTCTCAGAGGAGACAGACTAACCACTCAATCAATAAGAACTTCTTTGAACCACCTTGCAGGGCTAGAATCAGATCACACATTGATTAGGATGGCTTAATGATGCATAACTGTTACTCCTTTCCCCAATTCTTACTCTATTTTAGCCTAAAGCTATGCCAGTATCATGGAAATGGTATTAAATGCTTACATTCTATCTTTGCTATGTAGTTTGGTTGATTGTAATCGTTCCTGAATTTGGTAATTATTTCCATTTGATTTATTTGGGGTAAATGGCTGGATTGTGCATATTAGGGCCCACAGAGTTGAACCTGGTGGCCTAGGAGACAGTTTCAAAATGAGACTTCTACCAATTCTAGTGAGAGAGATGCGATAATGTCCTAGCAGAAAGCTAAACTCCCATTTCTTCCAGCAATGATAAGAAGCTCCCACTTTTTCAAGTGTCACTCAAGACTGAGTTGGGAAACTGGGCCTACTTGGAACTGACAGCAATGAAGCAATACCTTCTTTCCCCCCTGAAATGTCAACAAAAGGTAGTTAAATAGAAAGTCTAAATAGAATCCAGATTCTTATTTGAAAATATTTTTATTCATTATTATTTTTATTTTTCACATGTATGAGTTATTGGCTTCATATTTGTAAGTGAACCCATGTCGTACAATGTCCACAGAGGTCAAAAGAGGGTGTTGGATCCCCTAGAACTGCAGTTAGGATGGTTGTTCGCCAGCATGTGTGTGCTGGGAACCAAACTCGGCTCCTCTGCAAGAGCAGTCAGTGCTCTTAACCGCTGAATCATCTCTCCAGCACTAGAATCCAGATTCTTTAAAATGTTCTATACCTATTAAAGTAATTAAATTTATAACATAAAAAATCCTCAAAGTGGAATCTCTAGGCAGGCTCAGATAGTTTCATAGGAAAAGTCTAACAAATGTTTGAAAACAACCAATGCCAATTTTATACAATTATTTGCAGAAAATAGAAAGGAAAGGAATACTTTTGGCTGGTCTTATGAAGTAATTACTATTGTGAAACTAAAATGATGGCAGGGATTACCTAAAGTAAGAAAGCGGTTGTGATGTCTAATCTTCATTGTCAGCTTGACTGGTTTTAGAATCACTCAGAGGACACCACTCTGAGTATTTCTGTGAGTGTTTTTCAGGGTAGTAAAACTGGGGTGAGAATAGCCCCCTAAATATGGATGGCACCATCCCATGGGCTAAGGAACCAGATTGAATAAAAGGGAAGGAGGATAAATTGTGATGAGTGCCAGAATGAATCTCTTCTAGCTTCCTGACTGTGGATGCAAAGTGACTAGTCACCTCATTTTCACACTACCATGCTTTCCCCATCACGATGATCTCTATCTTCTTAAACCGTTGAGTCAGAATAAATATTCCTCTCTCTAAGTGGCTTATTTTCAGGCATTTGGTTACAGCAATGAAAAACATAACCAGTGGGGATGGAGCGATGGCTCAGTGGTTAAGAGCACTGGCTGCTCCTGTGGAGGACCCAGTTTCAGTTTCCAAGACCCATACATTGACTAGCAACCAGCTGTAATAGTACCAGGGGATCTGAAATCCTCTTCTGACCTCTGCAGGCATTGCATGCATATATGTACTTACACACATGCAGGAAAAACACTTATACACATAAAATAGAAGTTAATTAATTAAAAAGAAACATAACAAATATAAGTAAATATCATTATCTCTCATAAATTTGATGCAAAAGTCCTCAACAAAACATTAGCAAACCTACTTGAAAAATATATAAAAGGAATGACCACTTGAGGTTTATTGCACAGATGTAAACTTGGCTGGATTAAAACAAATTACAATATTACATTATATTTATAAGTTAAAAGGAAAGGCAATATGATCTAACTGATTTGTAAAAAAGAATTTAATCAATTTTAACATCTATTTATTATAAAGAGTCTCAGAAACATAAAAACTGGATGACTTCCTTGTCATGATAAAGAATATATACAAAAAACTGAAAGTTAACATTATATTTAATGATAAAGGAATGAATGTTTTTACCTGCCCTATGTATCAAAACAAATCATGTCCTTTCAGCATAACAATAGTCAATGCAATAAAATTAAATAAATAATAAATAAATAAATAAATAAATAAATAAATAAAGGAGCTGGGCCTGGTGGTGCAGGATGGCTATCCCATTTACCTCTGAGTCTGAGGCAGGAGCACTGCAAATCTGAAGACTTCCTGGGTTAGAGTGGGTTCCAAGCCAGCCATTACTAAAATTTCTGAAAAGAAATAAAAGAACATAACTAATAAAACACAATAGGATCTGTATT